GGGCGGGTCCCGCGCAGCCCCTGCGCGGCGTGCGCGGTAGCGAGGAGCGCCTGTCCCCCGGGGGCTGGGGAAGTTTGAGGCTTACTCATGCGAAAAAACTGCTGAAGTATCTCTAGGAGTTCTATTTGGACTGAGCCTTCCTGGTTATTTTTTGGTTTCACTGTGGCGAGTGCTTTTTTTTTTTTTTTTTTTTTTTTTTTCTTTCCCCCGCTTTGTCAGGCCTTACAGGCCTTATTTTTGGAAACTCGCGTATTCAACAACGGTGTCAGTCGTACAATCAGAACATGCCTTCCTTCAGCAACCTCATCAAGAAGGTATTTCCAGCTGTTATATGCAGTCATAAGGAAGTGTAAGGTCAAGGTATGTTAAACTTGCTTTGCTTTATTTACTTATTTCTTTAAGACTTGTGTAGATGCCTGTGGTTTTACTCAAATATGTGCTTTTTCTTTTGTCTGTATCTCAGAATATTACTAGCTACATGATGTAGCTGCTACGTTCTTTGTTGGCCTTTATGGCACCCTAAAATATACTGGGTATGGGCTGTATCTTGACAGTGTTTTGGAAACAGTCTGTTAAAATCGGTGTTGGCCTCCAGGCTTTCAGTTGGAGAGCAGCATTCTAAAGTTAGGTTAATCCAACTGCATTACATTTAATTACATATAATATGAAATTATTTAATAATCTAAGTTTTAAGAACAGAGGGCTTTGATTTTTGCTTCTCACATTGAAAAGTTTTCTGATTTTCAGGCTGTATCTATTTGGCAAAAAAAGGAGTATGGATCTACTCGAAGTATTGTTCGTAGACTTGGGACAATCCTTTCCTTAGAGCTCTACCCAAGACCCTATTTTCAGGTAAGTGATTTGTTGCTATGCATATGCTTCAGCTGTTTAAGTTTTCTAATTACTTAATGTAGTTATAGTTTTTCCGTTCTTTTTAGTTTGTTTAACTCTTGTGTTACATCCCTTATACTCACTGTTTTTATTTTACAGCACTGTTTAAAAATTCCTTCTGATAAGGCAGAAGTTTTATTGTGGGGCAAACCTGTTTTCCTTTTTTTGTTTGTTTTTAGCTTGTTCAAGACCACAGTCCATCAAGTAATGAGGAGCAAAGCACAGCTCCTGTGGCTCCATCACTTGCTGATGTCCCGTGGGTAGCAAATGATGAGGGACAAGCATTTACTAGACTTAGGTAAGTAAAAGTAGGATGTATGCATAAAAAGGAGTAGTAAAGGTAATTGATGTCTTCCCTTATTTGTGGTTTGTGGTTTTGTGGTTAAGTTTTTCTTTATTTTTTCCTAGAACTTTCAGGGTTCTAGCTAAACCAACCCTGGAAACTTTATGGGGTTTTTTTGAGAGATGTGGATCCTGCTTACCTGGAAATTCTTACTATGTAGAGAAGCAGTACAAAGCTTGCTTTCTATTCCTCTATAGGATCTCTTCAAAATCAGAGGACAAGTCAGAACCAAGATTAAAATTTGGTCATTAGTGTTGTTTTACACTGTGCCTGTATGAGACAATGCATTTCTGTTTCATTTTGCCATGTGTTTGTCTGTGATCTTTGTGCTGCTTGCTGGTAATGCAACCACAAGAAACTGATGAAATATCATGCTTTTTATTAGAGAAGTTTTGATAAAGTTGCTTTTCATCTTATGATTCCTGAGGTGTTACTGTGTGATTATGGAATTTGTTTTTCAGCAGCAGCTGTAAAATACAGAAAGAGTAAGGATATTGTTAGAAGGAGCTGTGGCCTGTTTTGTCTTGCTTGTTCTGTTCTTCAGTCATTCTGATTCACAGATCCATGAAAGTTCATTCTTTTGTGGTTTTCATTCTTTATTCCTCCTCCTTTCCTATCTCTCTGGGATGTTTTTCAAGAACACGTATCGTGATTAGGATCTTCTGAGACAGTGTGAAAAGCAAGGTGTTTTGGCAAATCAGCAGTGCTGTAGGTCTGATCTGAAGTGAAATGATGATTAATATAAGGGGAAAGGTCTGGGTTTGTTTCAATCAAAACTTTGTGCATCTTGTATAGATAATGTAAACTTTATTTCTTCCATTATTTCATAATTTGTTTATGCTCATTCTGTATTTTAAGGTTATTTCTGCAGGCACAGACTTGAAACCATTTTTTAAAAATTTAAAACCTCATACTTGCTGCACAATTTTCTAATATACTGTGTGCATTACAAAAGATAAGGTTCTTATTCTGTAAGTGCATGTTAAAATTCATTATTATTCTTGAACATATTTTCTGGAAGATTGCAACTTCTTTGCTGCTCGGAGTGTTCATCTTGCAGAGTTTAATAAATGACTAAAATGTGTGAAGCTTCATTAAGAGATCATTATTCTTTGACTCTCCTCCTTTTCATATCTACTGTTTCAGGTAGGAGGAGGGGGATATGTCTGTATGGTGTCAGTCTAATAGTTATTGAATAATAATGGCTCAAGCCTATATTATTACGACCATATGATGTAAAATCTGTTCCTGAGTAAATTATCTGACTACTTTTTATGATGACTTTCCAAAGATCATTGACATTGTACTTGAGCAAAGGGAGATTTAAAATTTTTAAGGTTATGAATAGATAAGTGTAAAGTTTTCTTAAACAGTTGGTGAATTTGTCTTGTTGAATGATGATAACTTGCTTGAACAGAAAGCAGGTAAATTTTGAGATCTCCATTATTGCCTTAGCCTTTTGAAATTGTATCTTTTGGTGCTTTCTAGGACTGAATTATGGAGAAAAGGGAAAAATACAGCTCATCGTGAACTACCTCCAGCTGCAGATTCCATACAGAGTGTTTCAAAATCCAGTTTACAAAAAGACAGTCTTGTTGATCAGGTAGCACTCCAGAAAATTTCTGCACTTGAAGATGAGCTAACCTTCCTTCGTGCTCAGCTTGCTGCCATTGTTTCAGCACAGACACTTGGGAGCCTTCCCTCACGTAAGCCTTCTGGTTTGAAACCAGTTTTCTTTTTTGTTGCTTTAGAGTTCCTCTTCACAGCTTGCCATGTCTGATCTTGATAGAGAACATCTCTGACTTCTCTATTTGATGTCATACCACCTAAATGTACAGAATATAGTATTTTGTTTCTTTTTTTAGCATTTGGTGTTGCCTCCCCTCAGCCTTTCTATTTTGGTGGCCTGTTTGCCAGTTTTGAATGCAGTTGATCCTAAGTGATCTTCATATTTGTTTCACTGTTTGTGAAGGAGCTTAGTAACAGCACAGTACATAGGCAACTAGTTACTGTTTAAAAAGTTATAGACTATTAATTATGCCTGTTAGGTTTTGTATTACTTCTGACAAGTTATGGAAATAACAGATAGAAAAAGTCAGTTGGGTTCAAGCTTTAACTAAAATGCTGCAAATAGATGTGTCACTAGCTTATCCAAGAGTTCATCTCCAGTATGAGCTTCTATCTTGTCACTTTTTTTCATCTTTAAAAGATCTGAGTTCTTGATTATCTTACTTGCAGACTAACGCCACTGTGGTTGTTGAAATACTTGGACTGGTGCAAGGTAGTTAACTTTGGGTGGTATTTTGAGGCACCTCTGTGATTCAGTTAGATGTTATGTTGGATCCTCTTTTGCCCCTTCTCTGTTGCACTCGGTGCCATAGTCTGTTTTACATGTTCTGTGGTTATCTTTGCTTTTGCTTTGTGTGGGTTATTCTAACCTTCAGACCACTGAGAATGAACTGTATGTAGTAGCAGCTGCTTTGCTGTTGGGGTCCTGCTTTGCTGATTTATCCAGTGCTGAGGCTGAAGAGACAGATGTGTCTGAATCTGTGGCTTTGAAATAAAAAATGTTGTTTCAAATATAGTTCTTCTATGGTGTAATGTGTGAGGTGTGCAAGAAAGTGCTTAAAGACGACCATCTTACCTTGAGTTAAGACTAAGTCATCCTAGATGTTGAGCAATATGGTTAATTGTGAGGGTATACTGACTAAAATTAAAATCACTGTTTTTCTTTTATAACTGTACGCAGAAGCCTGTAAAGCACCCAGTATCCCAGATGGGTTTTACCCCGTGCCAGCCATGACTTCCACGCCATTGTCCGTCTCTCACGATCACTTTGTGATTCCCTCCCCGCCTCCGCTTCCTTGCGGTGCCCCTGCTGGCACTGACACCAGGAATTCAGCAGCTGAGCTTATAAAACAACGTCGTGCCGCAAGAGGCAGCGGTTCCACGGCAGCTGATGGTGCTGCTCACCAGAGGACAAAGAACCTTCCTAGTATGATGGATGTTTTAAAAGACCTAAACAAAGTTCAGCTGCGAGCTGTTGAGAGGTAGGTTGAATTGAGTGATCTGAGCAAGCCAAGACCATCGTGGCACTTGAGTAGCACCAGAGAATACAAGTCTGAAACAGCGTTTTATGAGTGGCTACTGCTGACAGACTTAAGCTGGAAACTTACATGTTCACAGCTTACAAAAATCCATTCCTAAAGACTACAATATCTCTTCAGGTCAGTGTTGCTCTGCTGTGCTCAGTGTAATGGAGGTTGTTGGATGTCTTTCTGAGCTTCATGAGTGGAAAAAGTATGAGAACAACTGAACCTATAGTGAATATTTGGAGCTTTTAATGCTGGAAGAATGCCACATACCAAAACTTAATGCGTTTTCTTATTTCAGCATTTTTCTTAACTCTGAGCTTTATCCCTAAAAATAACTAGCACAAGTCTTGGGCAAACTCTCTGTATGCCACTTGACAGTGTATCTGTACACTTTTGATGACCTTTTTACAGCAAATAAAGCAAATATAAAGTGCACTTAGGTAAACTTGTGTTTCCTCATATGTTTTTTTTCCATGTAATTTTATGTCTGGTAAGTGAAGAAAGTGAAATGTTCAGGTTGATAGTTTTAATCATCTTGCTAAGTAGGGGCATAGCTAGTAGGAAGTGGTAGGTGTGCATCTGAAAAGCTTTCTGGTTTTAGGCATCTACCTGGTTTCCTGATTGTAGGACTTAACTGAATAATTAATTTATATTGCTGGAGAGAGTAATGATGATCAGTCTTTCAGACAGCAGTCTTAACAGTAGTTTAATGTGTGTACTGTAAAAGGGAGACCTTCTTTCTGAGAAGCCAAGAGCCTAAAGATCCCAGTTTCTACCACTTCAGCACCAGCTTGCACATTGGGAAGTGCTCTAACAGCTTGATTTTACAGGAAAGGTGAACCCAGTCCTTTCAGGTTTCATGTTAAAAAATGTGTACTGTAACCGCCAGGCTTTGAACTCAGTGCTGTCAGTTCAGTGTGGGCTAGTAGGTACAGTTCATTTGCCTGGAGGTAGCACCTCACTAGCAGAAGTCTCAATACCTCTAGACTTTTTTTTCAAAATCTTATTTATTTTCTTGGGCTAGTCACTAGCTTCCACATTTATTTTGGGCTTTGGGGTGCAGGAGCTGTTTTGATTTTACATGTCTTTGCTATCTTTAGATTATGAATCTGCTAAGAATAGTTTTTCTAAATTAAAATACAAACACTGCTTTTTAATGTTTTGCCTTTAAAATGTTCATATTTGGATGCTGAGATGCTCACTTTAAGGAAAAAACCTGGTCATGATTTTTTTAATAATGCGACTTGAGTTGCCATTTGTAAATGGGGCTTTATGGTTACCTGGCTACGTATTTGACCTAGAGTGGTTGCTTTCTTTCAATATATAGTTGCTTTGAGGCATTCTGTAAGTTTGTTCTTCCTTGTGAGACCACAGAAGGGCATACTGTTCCAAACTTAGAATTAATGAACTTTGAATCAAATTTATGTTCACAATAGTTATGAAGTGTGTTAGTGGGAGATTCCCACAAACATACCTTAACAGAACTTAGAAAAGAGACCTACTATGAAAAGTGCACATTCTGTCACACTCCCCCCCCACTTAGCTATTTGCAAAATTTTAATACTTAGTGTTGAATTACTGCTATTCATAATAGAACAGCATAAATTTGTATTTTCAAGCTGAGAATCTGTTTGTTGTGTAGTTGCATTAGTCCTATTTGGTAAGTTGCTGTAAAATAACAGTAGCAACATTGTTTCTGTAATCATGGATTTATAGGATAGGGTGTATACAGAAGTTGCATCTCTAGATTTTTTGATCAGTTGGCACAGGACTGGGGGCAGGAGATGATCTCTCTTTTTCTTTCATAGGTCACCTGGAGGTACTCCTGTTTCTAGACCCAAAAAGAGGCCAAGTTCAGATTGGGATCCAGTTGCTCTTCTGACTCATGCACTAAAACAGAAATTTGCACATAGTAATGACGATGAAGATGATTCATTGGAGAAAGAAAATCGATCTTTTGATACATCCCCATTTTCTAGTCCAGAGATTCCCCTGGTATGTTTCTATATAAGAATGTGGTCTTATAATCTTTAAGTGACTACTGTTTTCATGGATAGTTGCATGGGTTTTAGAATTCTACAGCTTCTCTACAATATTTTTAAACCATCAGCAGAGGTAGTTGCTTTCCTCAAGTGTAATCAGGGCAAAGAATCTCAAAAGATTAATTATTCTGGATGCATTTAGACTGGTAAATACCTTTCTATATGCTCCAAGAGGAAAATCTTAGAAGGCTGACTTTAAAAATCCAGATCATAATTGTTTGAACTGTGGACATTTGCTTGACCGGCAGGTATCCATATATGGAAACCGTGTGTCTAGTTAGTAATACTAACTACTTATTTACTAACTTTACAAATAATGATGCTAGAAAAGTACTGAGAGTTCTGACTAATGTGTGCTATGTGTTCAGAACTGCAAATTAAAGCATTGGCTGTAATACTTTTCTTTGAAGTAGCATCATTTCCATACAGTTTGCATCTTTCTCCAGAATGAGGTGTGATTTTTTTTTTTTTTTGAACGTTGTTGCAAAGCCCATGAAAAAAATAGAGTTTTTGCTGTGAGCAAGAAAAGTGTGGTAGACAGAATCATCAGGCTAAGGTGATTCTAAGTTCTGGTTTCTGTAGAGCAGCCTGTGCAACCTATTTCAAGCTAGAGTCCAGCAGTGCTGCTGATGATTTGTTAGAGACTTCTGCAAACCTTGGAAGAGCTTAGCTGAGGTGGATAGAAATAGGTGGCAGTAATTTAAACTGTCTCTGTGCTTATCTTTATATCTTAAGCGTGAGATAAAGATTTGGACTTTGGCATTTGCTAGCCTAATGGAGGGAAATCATAATGCAAAGCATATCTTGGAAACCCAGACGTTCTTTGAAGCCTGCTGCTACCCATGGCTAGCTGCTTGGCTGAAAATGTAAGGAAAGTTAAGCTGTGTTTGTATTTCTGGCTATAATGATTTTTATTGGTTTTGTAAAATTTCAACTGCCACAGGCATTTTGCAAGTGAAATGTATCCTGTCTTACAGACTGTAGTGAGTCAACAGCTCTGGTGCAGTCTTAATAGATTTCCCTGTTGACCTGCCCCCCTGCAGGCAACATTATAAACTTCCTGAAAATAGCCCTGCTTGTATTTTGGATCTTGCAGACCATTGCATTGCATAGCTGATATACCTGATTGTAGATGCCTAGATCAAAGTTAGATGCTGAAACAGCTTGTTTATGGCATAGCTTTTGTTCCAGATCTAACAGCTGAATTAAAAGTCCTGGAAGGAAGACTGCTTAAGGCCAGCATAACCAGGAGTAGGTAGAGAAAGATGGGCTTGTTCTGGTTAAAGCAGAATCTCAGGAGCTTATAATCAAGCCTCTGATAGTTTACCCTTGAGTATTTTGAAGAGTGAATGTGCCTAAATCAGTAGCACAGACTTACTATTTTATTCTTCCCACATTAAGAGCAATGCAAGAACCCTTTGAAACTGTCTCAGTTGTAAACATCTTCTCATTCAATTGTCTTGGATATAATTTTAACTTTATCCCTGCTCCCCAGGTTGGGTGTTGCAGCCTGAAGCCAAATGCAAAATCTACCCTTATAAGAACTGATGAAGTTAAACAGGTACCAATGTGGAAAGCAAGAGCTCATATTTAAATAATGGAGACTTCTGAGGAAACTTCATAGTGTAAGTGGCGGGCCCACTTTGAAACTGCTGTAAGATGCCACAGTATGTTCTAGAACATGTTCTGTGCTGTTCAAGTTTGGGTGTTGGAGGGTGTGTAGAATTGCCTCTTGCTTCTCCTTAGTTCCCCAGCAGCGAAATTTGTGAATGCAATACTTTTATGAGAAGCACAGAACCCAAATGAGACTTTTAGTGCTATGGAGCAGTGTCTTTGAAACCTGGGAAATGCAGGAGAGAAGCTGCCACATCAGTAATTATTTTTGCGGTGTGCACTCTGTTTACACTCCAGTGTAAATAACAAGGACGTGTAAACTTGTTAGTGTATTATATATAACTGAGTGTATATACTGGTAGCTAGTACTGTGTCATTAGAGTGGTATAGCTGTCGCAGTTTTCTTTGCAGTTGGCTGTTGCAAATCCATATTCCATGTGCAGGCAGCATTCTAATTTATTTTGGGTCGGTAGATGAACTTCTGTGTTTGTGAAACTGTCCTGTGAATAAACTGCAAGCTCTCTGTTAAATGCCTGTCATAGGGAGCAGATGTGTTCAGAGATAAAAAAGACCTTGTAGAGAGATCTGCTAGCACATAGTTGAAATTCCATATGTAAACAAACATTTACCTTGGATTCTCCATATAAAGTTTTTGTTCACAAGAATTTATAAAATAAAATTTTGTTTTTATCACAGATGTGTGTGGTAGTGGCATTTTGTTGCAAACTTTTTTGTATCTTAAGAGCTGACCATTTTAGACAATTTTCTTAAATTGTAATATTTAACATTAATTACAATGGGAGGAAAAATGGAAGCTCTAGAGTACTTGGAGTCCCTTATTTACAAATGCTTACAATGCTTACAATGGATCCATTTCATCTTTTGTATAATAATCCTGATGTATAAAACCAAAATCCTGTCAAGACTGTTGAGTATGTCCCTTGTATATCCTGTGTCTTCTATTTCCCTGCTCACTTAAACAGAGTAGTCTGGCAGCTGGATTCCCTCTTACAGCCTTATCTGTACAGGTTTAAGAGATTACTGTGCAAATCCTGTACTTCTGTTTTATTTTTGTTATCTTTTGACTAAAACTGGAGCTTAGGTGACTTGCTATTTTATGTTTCTAAAATAATGTTTTCTATGTTTTTTTTTCTGAATTTAGTAACTATTGAACCTTATCACATTCTCCCGTTCTTCTCTCAGTCCATAACAGTTTGACTGTCTCTTTCTTTCCACTTTCAAAATGTGCATTTGCTGCATTCTCTACCTAAACTGGACAACTGCTATGGAATCCATACAGGATCCCCAGCGTGGCCCTGCGTGTAGCAGTCTTGCCCTTTCCTAGCAAAGCTCCCACTTCTTCTGTGAAGTGCTGGAGTTGAACCCCCCAGCCCTGAATGGGGGTTGGCATATGGATGATGTCCACAACCAGGCAAGAAGGGCCCTTCTGATGAGTTTTCAGCCAGGGTCTGGCCAGCCTTGGGTGGGAACTGATTAGGAGATCACCACCAGGTGCCTCCACCTTCCACATTAACTTGGAGGGGGGGCAAAATGCCACCTCTGTAAGAGCTGCGTCTGCTTGCATGGGGGTTGGGAGGCCTGTCTATACACTGGATGTGCTGTGTGAGGGTTCTGGTTATCAAAAGGGCTCCCTGACTTCATAGGGATTGTAGTTTCCAGGACAGCAGAACCAAGATCATGAATTTCTATCTGGGAAACTCCTGTGTAATCGGACTGATTGCCTGGGTCCTTCCCTCTCCCACAGCTTGGTTCCATGGCCAGCCTGCTCCCTTCTTTACATCCTGTGTTGTGGGTGAGTGTGTTAATTTATTCCTCCCTCCTGTGGTCTGGCACATTGGATCATTTATGCATGATTTAAGAGCAGAGGGAGGAATCTTGCTCTTGGTTTGCTTGTTAATGATAATGTCCTTTCTAGCTGGGGAAGTGGTCAGCTGAAGATCTTGTCTGCTGCCCTGGTCTGATACACTAGGGCAGCAGGGGAGCTGCAGTGAAGGAAGTCCATGCAGTGCCTACAGAAGAAGATTTGAAGGCAGGTGAGTCCTTGTGAGCATTATGTTATTTTTCTGTTCTTTCCAGAGTTCTTCATTTAACTACAAGTTTGGCCTATAGGAGCATTTTGCAGTGGGAATTTTGAATTTGAAAGTGGCTATTAATATTGTAAGCAGATTCTCTCAGAAATTTCCTAGTACCTCTTAAACCAAGAATCTAGTGTTGGGCCTTGAAAGCATCTTTTAAAAATCTGCAAATTTTAATGAGCTGTGTGACCCTTCAGGTCACAAAAATGTGTCAGTCTGATATGAACTGTGCAGTAATGTAGCTTGTACAGCTGATCCATTTTTAGGGAAAAGAATGTCATGGGCCATCTGATTTTTTTTTTTTTCCCAACTATGTACCACCTACATGCCCTGTTTGTCTACAGATAACCTCGTTTACATGAGGCCTCTGACTTAACTGCTCAGTGACAATGCCTCTCTTGGAGATGCTGTAGTGATACAGTGGGGAGGAGGAAAAGTCTCAGGAGAATAAGTCCTCTGTTGGTTTGCTGGAACAATCTTCTGAAATGCTGTGCCTTCTTATTCTTGTCACTGAAGAATTCTGGAGAACTTATTCTCCAGCCACTTTTGATGAACTTTTGGGCAGGATATGTTCAGGAGTTGCCTGGGGAGTTATCAGGAACGAAAGTTAGTTTTGTTTTTCCTCTAGAAAGACTAAGAATTATGTACAGTATATCCACGTTTTCAATTGATAAAATTGAAACACGAATAAATGTTTCAAATACTTTGACTAAGTAGGGCTAGAAGGAAAAGTACAATGCAGTTTAAAAGCACTCAGGAGTGTTTTCTGTGAGATTTCAGTTCTTTATCAGTAAGCTTCCTATTACCTAGGAGGCTAATGAATACAATTACCTGAACTGTCAGAATTTCAGTTTGTCTGGACAGGTTTGGTATGTTACAGGAGTTTGCTGACACTCACTAGGTGTGAGGGGCAATTAATATATAAACTGTCATCTCTTTATATGTGTAGGTACAGTTTTGGGGGAACGGCCCAGCACAGAATGTGCAACAGTATTTGCTGCCCTCAGTCTGTGCCTTTTTCCGGGAGTTAATTACATTCATTTTAGTCCTACCTAAATAGTAAAATTATACATGGGTCACTTTTAAAAGCCTAATTGACAAAGGGATCCTGCTAAACAGGTTAGCCTTTGAGTTACTGGTTAGAAGCCATGGGGAATTAAAGTCCTGCAGGCAAGACTGTTGAAGCAACTGGTGTCCCAAATGTTAATAAGGTCTGCAGCCAGATTTCACTTCTGCTTTATCTGGTATCTTCTTGCCAGTGATTATAGCTACCTGGGAGGTATTTGTGATCCTGATTCCTGTAACGGGTTCTTGGAAGAGAATCCTATGTGTTCTACCAATACATTTTCCAAAGTTAAGTTACAAATAAATGGTCTTTACCTGTGTTTAACAGAACTAAGTAGAAATTACTGTAAATCGCTTGCTTGTGCATATGAATCCTACTTCATTCCCTACAATAGGTATTTGAACTTGCCAGCCTAGCAAAAAATAAAGATTCCTGAAACCACCTGTGTTGCCAAAAAGAACTTATTCTTTAAATTCTAATGTCATGCTTTGTACTAGAAGGTTGAAATAGTTTCATCTGAGATACCATAACTTTACTGTTTTATGTAGCTATAATTTAGCTATTGAGACATTTTTGATTGTGGTAGACATTAGTTTCCATGTTCTTCTTTTGCAATGTAAATTAGATTTTCTTTTTTTTCCCCTGCCATGTTGAAAGAAAACCTATGTGGTGCTTGTTATATTTCTAGTCCTCTTTACATTTGAATTTCTGCTTATGTTTTTATTGAGGCTGTTTGCCTGGAAGGATGAAGAGGGCTTTAAAAGGCTGTGAACAGAAGTGTTCATACTCTCCTTTGTTTAATGGTAATTTAGGTGTTTAATTTCAGTGGGTTGGAGAACCAAAAGCAGGAGCCTAAATTCTCCCTTTAGGTAAGAGAGAGGTAGTAGCACAGTATGCAGGGGTGGAGTTGGCACTGACTGTGGCAAACCACTGATCAGGAAAAAAAAAAAAAATCTTAGAATAAAATATTTTAAAAAATAATTTATGTAAATAGTTGATAAATTCTGCAGATGAGCTACATGCATTTAACCACAAGAGAGCAGTGTTATACCAGCACTGTGTTGCAAGTGTTAAAAGTAATTCCACTTTGTCAGCAGGGTCTAACAGCAAAATTTTATCTTCTTAGCGGTATTCACTAAATTGTAGACGTGCAGGCTTCTAACTTACTAGTGTTATGGTGAACTGTATTTATGTGTATCTGGGTTAGTAAAAAGACAACACTGAGCTGGTTCTGTTACAGAATAATTCTCTTACAAAATAAATCTGCTGTTTCATTTTCTAGGAGAATAGACAGAAGATTTTATGTGGTGTGTTAGAGAAGAGCTTCATCTGGCAGTAGTCTTTTCCTGAAGGAACATCCTCTTATATCCCATGTAAAATGCCTACTGGAGAAAATTTCTCTTTGGTGTAGTACATAATGAGCATTGCCATGGAATTGCAGGGATTTGTGTAAGTAACTTCTAGCTTATATAAGTGAAAATATGCTACTACTTACTGATTAAAAGTCAAAGTGACTGCCTGGCATAAAAACTCTCATTTTTATTTCCAATGAAAGATTATGCTCTGTTCCTGTAAGCATACACATTCTTTGCTCATCACATGTAAACAATGACTTGAAAAAGTTTAGGTGCATTCATAAAACTGAATAAGCATATGTTTGGAGGTTTGGGCAAAGTTCAACCTTCAGTAATTCTTCTGTATAACTGTCAACTTCATTAGAGCTGCTAGAGTGAAATTAAAGGCAATATTTCATAGAATAATAGAATGTTTTGAGTTGGAAGGGACCTTTAAAGGTCATCTATTCCAAGCCCCCTGCAG